AATTGCCAAAATCAGTTTTATCTTATCAAATGCTAGCCCCGCCCACCCGCCCACTATTTTCTTGCAATATATGTCATCTGCCAAAATCAGTCTTATCTTAGAAAGCAGTGGCCCCGCTCACCTGCCTTATTCTTATTCCAACGACTAATTTTATTTCTGTTCAGGATAAGATCATTAATTTTATTCAGATCGAATAAAATCGATCAATGAAAAAGAGACAGGGTGGGTGGGCGGGGCTAATTATGTTCTTGTGTCGAGCGGAAGTGGAAACTAATAGAATCTAGGATGTGAAAAAAATAAAAAAAGATCTGACCAGACTCTGGATTATTTTCGAAAATAGTTGAAAAATTGGCGAAAATATGAAAAGAGCCAAAATCAGTCTTATCTTGATAATAAGTACTAGCCCCGCCCACCCGCCCTCTATTTTCTTGGAGGATATATCATCTGCCAAAATCAGTCGTATCTTAGCAAATACTAGCCCCGCCCACCCTCCCTTTATTTTCTTGGAAGATATGTCATCTGCCAAAATCAGTCTTATCTTAGTAAGTACTAGCCCCGCCACCCGCCCTCTTCTCATTCTAACGACTAATTTTATTTCTTTTCAGTATAAGATCATTAATTTCATTCAAATCGGATAAAATCCTTCACTGAAATGGAGACAGGGTGGGTGGGTCGGGGCTAATTATGACCTTTTGTCTAGTGGGAGTGGAAATTATTAGAATCTGGGATGTGAAAAAAATAAAAAGAGACCTGACCAGACTCTGGATAATTTTCGAAAATAGTTGAAAGATCGGCGAAAATATGAAAAGAGCCAAAATCAGTCCTATCTTAGTAAGTACTAGCCCCGCCCACCCGCCCTCTATTTTCTTGGAGGATATGTTATCTGCCAAAATTTTATTGTAAGGGCGCAGTTGGCCATGGATTTCAAAAATCCCGCCTCGCTGAAATTATGCCTCATTATGATACTTCTCATTTGTCATTAATGTCAGTTGTAACCTGTCATTTAAAGTCGTCGTTATTATTGTTTTAACGTTTTTCAAGTGTGAATTACAGTAGTTCTCGTTGATCCAAGCTCAAAACACCAAAACAGTTCTTTTCAAAACTCTTGGTGGTTGCGTCAGAAAATTTTGTTTTTGTGCCGGGATGCGAAGACTGTGAAAATGGTTTATTCTGTTGAACAAGACATTTTCATTGTTACGTCTGGTTATCGCAATGGGACTTCGCAACGAAGAGTGTTTGTATTCTATAACCGCTTGTAAGGAAGAATATCTGACTAAATACCGTGATTTAATGATTCAAGAAACATCGTTAGATGCTCACATTGGAGATGTAATCAACAGATTTGTTCGAACTGGCAATGTCAACAAAGAGAAATCTCGTGGAAGACCTTTAGTATCTGAGGAAGTTGTTGATGATTTGAGACAAGTTGAGCAGAATCCGCAAACATCTTTGATAAAAATTGAACAATGGGTCCAAAACATTGTGATATTTAACCGCGATAAATTTGTTTATTTTTATTGTAATGAATTAGTTAGTGAATTAAAAAAAATATGAAGCACTTAGGCAACAGATATATAGATGCGTGTGATCTTTGTCATGCGTCCTTGGGCATTTAGTACAGTTCAAATCTGAGAGGCGGCACGTTTACATGACCTACTGCGACACAGCATTTATAGAAACCCTGTACATTTGATGCATTGTATTTGTTAATGATATTAATGTCACTACACTCAATAAGATCAGGTTTATACTCTTAAATTATTAAAGGTAGATGACCGACAGTCATTTATTTCTTGCCATAGTCATAGTGACTTTAGAAACTTGTTTTCAAGATCGGTACAAGATCGATATCTGTCACATAAATCTATTGTAAGTACTATCTCATTACAGTCATGCTTGTATAAATATACGGACATTAAGTATAATCCTGCTATAAAAATAAATATAAGTAAATCGTCAAAAATTCACGTTTTAAGTAGACTATGTTTCGTATTACCATCGAGTTGTCGCACTAAGAAAGGTGTTGAAAGAATCTGTTTCTATAACCAGTCATCGTAAATGAAGTATTAATTTACACTCTAGTCTAGACGATATATCACCAAACACTGGCTAGTTTTGTTATGTTTTAATTTTTAATATTTGTAAAGAAATTAGCTACATGGCTACCTCTTATTTTATGTTTGCTGTCTAAGTAAATATAATCTAAAAATTGTAATTGGAATGAAAGAAGAAAAACAGAAGGAAATGTTACTATTTTACCAAACTTTTTGAAAATAAATATCTAATTTCTGATGTGTATATTGTTGCTTCGCAAAATTTTGAGATGATGTCATCAATTTCTAGTTAGTGTATGCCATATGTTTCTTCTTCTTCTTCTTTTCATGTCTTGTGCAAAGTATGTTGACGAACTATTTCGTTTCTATATATTTTTTTTTGACATAATTCCCCAGTTTTAGTTATCTCGTCCACCCTTTTATGTTACGTAGCCACACCATTTTTTGCGACTCACATCTTTCATATCTTCAATCTTCTTTTGGACAATTAACTGAAGTCTTTGATATTTTGCATTAACCGTTCGGTACCTTATTCTGAAGGATAGACTTTGGTTGTATAGAAATTATCTGACTTTAGTTAGATAATTATTATTTCTTTCTTTGGGACCCACTATTCGTTAACTACGGTGCCACGATATCTAAAAGTACCCACGCACTCTATGGGTTTGCTATCAGCACATATCTCTATTCTGTCTCTATCTTAATAACCATAAAATTCTTTTCTCAATATTAATTTTAGTCCGTTATTTGTTCCTACATCGTTTAATCCATTTAAAAGTAGCTGCATGTCTTCTTTATTGTCAATAATAATGAGCATATCGTCTGCATAATGCAAGTTATTATTTATAGGTATTCCATTGACTTTAATGCCTTGTTCCGTGCCATCTAATGACTCAGAAAATATGTTTTCAAGACATAAATTAAACAACGTTGGTGATAAAATGCATCCCTGGCTGACACTTTTTAATACTTCAAATTCATCAGTAGGTATAGTGGTCATAATCTGGTCTGACACAAGCTTTCTGATTCAAATATAGTTCCTATTCTGATATGTTTCTCATCATACTTTGCGTTGCCCAGAAGATTAGCACAGTATTTTCGATGATTATTATATTTATATTTATAAATCTAAAAATAATGCCTCTAAATCTTTAATACTTCTGTTTTATTAAGGTTTGATTCTTTACCAACTTGCGCAACAAATTTTTCTAGCCTGTTGTATTTGGTATTGGTCAGTAAATGGGGGTCCTATGTTGTGCTTAAAACCATACATATGAAAGCACTCTGCTTAGTTTTTCTTACACCATATTTTTAACATAATGCTCCAAAATCAGTTAAAAATAAATTTTTATTAAATGAAAAACTGTAAGTAGAATTATTTATTAGTACCTGTTCATACATACTCTGTGTAGTTTTCACTTATATATAGCGCAGCAAAATATCATCCGCAATATTTCATGCTTCATGTTACAGTGTCCTTGTAAACATTTAAGATTCGCATTTCACTGAAAAAAATAGTACTCCTATTTATTTGATGAGTCTAAGATATAAGTTATATTACGCGAATTAAATACTATACTTGTCTCCAAAAAAAAAAAGTTGTACTTGACGGTAAACTATTAATATTATCAAAATAACGGTACTGTTGCATGGAGCCTTGACACTGCTACTTGTAGAACCATCATTATCGACAACTTGGTTATTAGAGTTTGAATTAATTTGGCTTAAAATTTTTCTAGCTGCTTTCATTTTATTCTGTCTTGAATCAACAGTGTAGCTTTCAGCATTTCTACGCCCTATGGTGTTTCAGATCTGTTATGTTCGCTCCTGCCTCGCGTCGGCATCAAGGTAGCAGGTGATCGTCTTAAATAGTATCCAGTGTATTTTCCGGATCTGGTATTTGTATAAATTTTGTAATTTCTTTTCCCATTGCTCCAAATTTGTTGATAGCAATCATTTGCTTCGTACACTTAACGTTTTCGTAATTTCAAAAAAGAAGTAATTTGGCGAACTTTTTTGTCGACGAAGGTCTGCGTACCTTTTAACAGTGTTATAAAAGTCGACAATTATTGTAAAACTGCGAGGAACTTTAGTTTTAGTAAATGGAATCGAAACTTGAATACAACCATCTAAGAATTTAAGATCTTGAACCTTCATAACATGTAGTTCATTTGCATAGGAGGCCTCCATTATTAATGCAACCCTAAAAAATGAGAATTATGTATGCATGCATTAATAATGTTGCTAAATATTTAAAAACATGTGCTTCATTAACGAATTTGTTAATTTCATCTCCTGTAAAGCCTTTGGATTTCTTTGGTTGATAACCTTCCGAAGACCTTTTCAACAAGGCTTACTTTTTTGCGTATGATTCAATGTTGATTATATGTTTGAGATTGAGGGTGCTCCTCAACATGGGACAGTGAGTCCACAATGTAGATGATTTGTCAATTCGTTAAAGTAAACTGATAAAGAAAAAGAGGTTATATTGTTCACTAACCGCCAATCCATGAAGTTTTTGTATGAGATTTCATGGTTTTTTGAATCCCGAATTACAACCCCTATATTTTCACCGATGACTAAACGACATAATCGTCACTAACCCTAGTTTTGCATCACCCAACTCCTCATAATCATGTCATTAAATGTTAGTGGATACAAAAAAAAGTTATGAGTATTAAACACGTTGTTTCTGAAGCTTGGAAATATTTATATTTCACATAGAGGCAATATACATGATTCCAAAGTTTAAGTAAAATTGCAAGAAATAGGACTTTCAAGACAGAAACGATGTCTACAGTTGTCTCCGACTCTCCTTAAAAAAAGAAAATTATTAATAATGCGATTTTCATTTTAAGGAATATTACAAGAATATTCATTACAAATAAATTATAAGAAAAAACATATTAAAATGAATAATTTTAACAAGTGTATTTATTTTTATAGGTCAGGAATTTGGGAAAACTGCAGAGCCGCGTACGAAGACATCGTCAAACATTTAGAAAGGTATGTTAAAGATGCTTTAAAATTCCAACTAAATTAACAGCACTAACGACATTTAGTGAAGCAACTCCTGCCTAAAACAGATTAATTAGCAATAAATTCTTAGAAACGGAGGAGTTTTATTATACCAGTGATGATAAAAAAATAATTGGTTGAGATGATGTATTAATAAATATAGAAAGCCTCGTGTGTCTATAATCAAACTAATTTGCATTTTTCGTTTCGAATTGAAAACGCCGTTAGGTATTGGTTAGTGTTAAAAGTGCAGGTATCGTTTCACTCCTGTAGGTAAAATCAGAAGCTCTTTAATTAAAATGTTTTGACAATAACAAAAAGGGCCACACATATAATGTCTTTAATTGGATAGAAGACTAATTGACGTTTAATTACATTAATTATTTTTACAGTTCTTGGTATATTTATGAGTGGGCGTACCCCTTCTAATTAAGTCTTGAAAAATCTAACGAACCCAACACGTTTTTAATTTATCTTGCCGCAACAACAATAATTATAAATATTATTGACACACGCATATGCAGTTGAGGCGTTTTATCACGTTATCTATCTAGACCAAGTATATAATATAAAAAAGGTTGCATGTCTAATAAACAAGTTGACAAATAAATCCATATTGCGAGTAATGGCGGCCCCGTCAACCTGTACTCTTTACGTGGAAATGGTGATGCAAAAAGACTCGCATAGGTACACAGCGCGATATTTGTCAAACGTCAAACGATTAACTGAGCTTTCGAAGCTTGCAGATCCGGGCTTACCGACGAAGCTTCCAATGATTTGTGAGTGTCGGAATCGCTGCGCTACCACTAGTGACATCCTGAATAATCGCGTGTCTCTGCAAATGCCACTTTACGGGTCGTGCACTTGCATTTTTACTACTGCAGATCCTGGCTGAAGAGCTCGATGGTGCCAGATTTCGCTTAACGAGACGACACGTTAATTGGAATCGAAGCTGCTGTCAGGGCCAACAAACGCTAACAGAAAATGTTACAAAGCGAGATCGAAAATAAAAAGCCGGGCAAGACAATTTTTTGTTCGGAAGATGTGTAAGAAATACGTTGGGATATATTTTTTGCAAAATATATTGTGACATTTTTTGAAAAGGATTTGTTTTCTTGACGTTTTCTCCTCTCTTCTCTCAATCATAAACAAAATTTAGGTATCTATAATCACAGATATTTTGTGAAACTCTTATGTTTATTGACATATACAAGGTTGCATTTTCACACAGATTTAAGTAAGTGTGTTTTTAATTCGGACCCATTTAGGAGGGCTGTTAATTTTTGAAAATATTTTCGTAGCGTTAAATCTGGTCGAAAAACAAAGAAGCTACCTCTGTCTTTAGAAATTAACTGTGAAAACATTTATAAATGGCTAAATGCAAATCCCGGGTACGCATTTCACACCGAATATATCCGACTAGCATTACACAAAGCTGTCCACACAATTAACAGAGCGGAATTAACAAAACACTGGCCGATTTAAATTTGAATTAAGGCTCCAAAATTAATTAATCCTCGTCACAACACGGACTGCGGCAATTAGTCCGACACAGCGAAGCCAGAACTTCTTCCAACCGGCATCTGCAACACTGTTTATGAATATTAATAATGCCTTATAAAATATCACTGATAACTCTGCGATATTAACAAACTGACAGTTTATTAAAGCCCGGCCCGTTGCTTATTAGTCCTAAGAGAGGGCCCTTCCAGATATTTAGGGATTCCGGAACGCGATTGATTTCGCTGTCTTTGGAATGGAGTTATTGCTTGGTAAATATTAATAATTTTTTACCTGACCTCTAAGATGATATCTGCGAGATAACGGAACGAGTTATTGATTACAACACGAACGGCGATGTCAATAAATCAAACCGTGAATAAATTGGGTCCATTGTAGATTTGTAATTTAATATTGACATATGGTTCGTCGGATTTTTTTCTCTGTCTTTAATTAAGAGATGAATGGGAGGAGATAAACAGCAGCGCTAATGGCTCTTGTTGCTAATAAGATCCATAAGAAGTGCATAATTTCTAATTCATTCAAAAAAGTACAATAAGATACCAGAAATGGTTTAACCACATCAACAGCTTTAAGTTTTCTTGACATGCCTTCAACGTTAGTTATTTTACATGGCAATAGAGTTTCGAGGGTTGCATTGATAAATGCCAAATATTATTTCGTTCATAGAATATTTCGACCTAATATTCGCGTCTTATACAAACTGTTAATAGCTAAGATTATCACCAAAAAACAAATCTTTAGATTGTGTCGGAAACAATTCTGCAATAGTATAATCTTTCTAAGGCATGTAAAATGAGGCTTCTTGTACAGATTTTCTGTTGATTATACCCACGTATATATTTTTCTGTTATGTCCGATCTATCCTTGTTCAAAATTTTCTGTTGCTCAAAATCTATCATTCAAAATCTACGTGGCTGTGTCAGGTAAGGTAAATCTTTTCGTTACTGAAGTAAAGATTTGTGAGTACAGACGGATTATCAATTGAAGAATGTAATATTAAGATTAATTATTCGCAGTCTTATCAGCTGCGAATACGGTCCGTCCTATTCAAACAAACACGAGTCATCGCAGCAGCGCCCTGCGTGTTTGCCTTCTCCCTCCTCCGGCCCCGGAATCACCCTTAAAAGAGGGCGAATAAGGGCCAACACGAATCTTACGTGTTATCATTAATTATAATACAGATCTGCAGACGTCATGCGAAATTAAGGATTTTTCGAGGCGATACAGGAAGTCAGTTTTGAATGTTAGTACACAATTCATTAAGTTACACGTTCATAAATCATAAAACACATTACATTTCCATTGACTCGACTTGCCGAAATATTTTCCGTATTTATTCCATATTTAGGCAACTGCGTGTCGGAAGTCTATAAAGTTGCGATCCGTGTCGTTATTAATACCGCAGAACCTGCTGTTTTCGCTAATAGAAAAGCTCGGTATATAAATCTGTCGCAAACTTCTGATTCTCCATTGTCTCCATTGTGGCAGCATGATTGGATTATATATTTTACACCTGTCCTGACAGTTCAAAGAGTCGTTTCTCGGCGAACAAGACCACCCTCTAACTTATTAAATTCTTATTATTTATTGCGTTATTTGCTATCGTGGGACAACTTTCTAACCACCGTTTGCGAATATTTTGCTGTCGCAGAGCAGGAACCCTAATTGTTCTAAAAGTATTGCGTTTTGCAGACGCGTGCTAATTGTGAAGTCTGCATTTGTAAAGTAATGATGAGTTCTACAATCTGGTTCGCTGATCACTTGGCTGGCAGTTACTAATATTTAACTACATGTTAGTGCTCGTTTTATCTATTATCTTTAATTTCCGTTCTGGTTTGTAATTTTTTTCTAGACTATTGCGTTGAAGAGTTCTCGGTACCATACCATATACTCAACAAAGATGTAAACATTTTCAAGTAATAAAATTTTCTGTGATCTAAATCTACACAATTTTCCTCAGGTTTTGAATAGTCATTCCAAATATTTTCTACTAAATCTATATTTTACGTATCTCTGTGTCACTCTTATACACGGCTTTTATTCTTCTCTGAAATTATGCCTCACTATGACAGTTCTCACTTGCCATTAATCTCATTGGTAACCTATCGGTTAAAGTCATCACTTTTATTGTTCTAACGTTTTTCAAGTGTGAATAACAGTAATTCTGGTCGATACAATCTCAAAAGAACAAAACAGTCATTTTTAAAACTCTTGGTACCGGAGAGTGCGTGCATTCTGTAACCGCTTGTAAGCAAAAATATCTGGCCAAATATCCTGATTTATAAATTCAAGAAACATCGTTAGAGGCTCGCATTAGAGGAGATGTAATGAACAGATTTGTTCGATCTGCCAATCTCAACAAAGTGAAATCTTCTCTCTTCATTATCTGAGGAAGTTGTTGATGATTTGCGCTGTCGAACTGGCAGCGTCAACAAAGGGAAATTTGGAAGATTTTCAGTATCTGAGTAAGATGTTGTGGATTTGAGATGACTCGATCCGAATCCACAAACATCTTTGACAAGATTGTCTCAGCAGTCAGGAGTTCCTGTTGCAACTTGAAATTAAACAATGGGTCCAAAGCATTGACGAAAGGATGTTACAGGACATTTTTGAAATTAAAAAGATAGTGAATATTGCCTTGAACAAAATGGTAAATATTTTCAACATTCACTGCACGTTTAACCACAATAAATTTCTTTCTTTTTATTGTAATTATTAGTTTTGTTTGGGAAATGAAGAATTTAGGCAACCAGTTATACAGATGCGTCTGGTATCTGTCGTGAATCCTTGGGCATTTAGTAACATTCTCATAAAGTGATAGGCGGCACACTTCCATGACCTACTTCGACCATAAATCATTTATACAAACCCTGTATATAACAGCAGTCAAATCATATATCTAAACATACCCTTAATGTTCTGTTTTAAAATTTCTAATACAACACACAACACAAAATTCACACAACATATTGTACTGATCTTCGTCAAAAACTTATAGTAAATTAGAAAAAAATTGTCAACATTATTGTTATTCTCTACAAATTTGGAGATGAAGCTCATATGTATGTCAACTTATGTCCACTTTTATAGAGGTCTTGTTTTTTTTATTGTGTCAACATAAATTTTGTTGCATAGAAGTGCAAATCACAAAGCAACTTTTCTGTTTAACATTTTGAAATATAAAATATTATTAGGGTGCTTCGTGTTTTGGGTTTTTTTACTTGTTAAAATACCATGTACGCACAGTAGGTAGCTGCAATGGTGCAAATTCTTCGTTTCCTTATGGTAGAATTCAATAAAAATCTTGTTCTTAAATATAAAAATAAAAATAAATAGATTACATTTTAAACGCAATTTAATTTTTTGTTGCACTATACTACGCCGTCTGATTGAAAACCAATTAGGTACAATTAAAAAAGTACATACGTTGTTTGTGGTATTACCAATTGAAAAAATGTGTAAAC